CCTTACAGGCACTGTAGTCAAGGAGACTTACCAGGTACAGACAGCTCTGAACTGTGACTCTTAAGGACATGTTTGAAAAAGAATCTGAATATTTTGGTTAATGAAATTTGATTATCAGAACTTTAATTCTTAAAGAGGCAAATGTTATTTCTGGTGTTACAGAGTATAGGTGCCAATCCTAGCACACTGAAGTAAATAAAAAGCTTCCATTTGGCTTCACTAAGTTTTGAATTAAATCCAAAGAACGTTTGATAAACTGAAAATGTTACAGCAAGCTGCTGGTGTTCACCATTGCCATATAACAATAGGTCCTGGTAGGATCAGACAAGGGCATTTTCATAAACAGGATTTGTTACACATACAAAGAGCAGAAAGCAGCTTCATTCTTTGTTGTTTGTTATCATTAATTTGATTTGGGATGGGGAAACATTTTTTACAAGTTAGCATTGTTTTTCTATTGTGTATTTTCTGGTAAGATTTAAATTACGGTGAAAGTTGTTGTCACATATAATAAAAAGCAGTCACTGCCTGCTGGGTAAATGCCTTGGTACTGTGGATATGCATTAAATACTTGGGAGTGCTGAAATGTAGTTGGGTTTATTTTAGTTGCGAGTCGTTATTTTTTTAGGACACAAGGTGGCAATGACATGGGAACACTCATTAGATAAAATAGTCTAGAATGTCTTTTGATCAGTTTTCTGCTTCAAAACTGTGCTTGATATATACAGCTTGGCACCTGGGTATACACAGAGCTCTATGTATAACAACGTTTGGCGTGTCCTGTGGATTGTGCTTGGCAATGCCTCTTTGTAGCGAAGCGTAAGTGCATGACTAAGTATTACTGTCCTCTAAAACAGATTGGGAAATGAAGTCAGAGGGATCAGACAACCTGCCAGAGGCCACAGCAAAAGAGCTGAGATAAAAACAGAGGCAGTTTCAATCCTAAAATACATATATATAGGTACAGCTGTAGAGTATAAACTGCTATGTCAGTGGCTGCACATGCAGATGTGTGCGTACACACGCAGCATCCTCCCCCCCCAGCAACAGAGGAAAGGACCCTTTAGGGAACTTGGTGTGTACTTTATTTTGCTGGGAAGGCAGGGCTTTTTTCCTACTCAAAGAATCCCTAAAAAAGGGTGTAAAGTTGCCAGAAGGTATCTGCAGAGTCTTGTTTTATTGTGGCCTTGGATGTGGTGAGGCTTGTGGTCATTTCTTCAGGCGGTGCGTGTCCATCTTGTTCTGTTTGCCTTCTGCAGTGTTTGGTTGGCGGTGGCTGTGTCAGTGGAGCTACAGCTCCCAGCTCTGCTCTGGCGTTTGTGGGACCTTTGGCAGCTTTGTGGCATTCCCATGCTGTGGTGACAGTGCAGTCCCTGTGCACCTGCCTGCTTCAACCTCCCATGGAGCTCTTCTAGACCATTAGTGCTCTGTGAGTGAAATAACCCCAAGGTGCACTAACCCACCAATAAATTTCACACTAACTAGATGCAAAGTGCTCTCAAATTCACTGGGGAGAAAAACAAACAAAGCCCCAGTGAACAAAAAAAAAAAAAAACCCAAGAGGAAATATTTCTGCTAGCTCTTTTGTGTTAAGATCAATGCTGCTGCTTTTAAGACAAACAATGTTTTTATACCCAGTGGAGGAGTTTTCAGTCAATGAGATTTGGCTGTATCCTTCTGAAATCCTGACATTAATGACTGACTCTGGGTCCATTCTGCTGTAAAGCGAACTGAGCCCTATGAGCCATGCAGAGCCCCACAAGTTTTCTGATCCTTATCAGATGCAGTGAAGAAAACCACCAGGAAGGTATCCCCCTTCAAAATTAAATGGAGCCTGGCAAGGAGAGCAGTGCCCAGGAAGAAAAATAAATAATAAATAAATATTAAAAAATCAATGTACCCGCAACCTTGAGCTGTGAAGCTGCCTACCAAGTGAACAGCTCATGCAATTTAACTCCCTTCTTTCTGTGTTGCAGGGATCTTACTTTTGGGGTTCTTTGATCCACCTATTCATAGCTGTGAAGCGAGCAGAATTTAATCAGGCTCTGACAGGATATGGCTGATTTTAATACAGGCCTCCAAAAAGGAGCTGTCAATCAAGGATGAGCTTTAATGCTTTCAGCTTGCAGCTCCTTTAAACTTCTGCTGCAGTTGACTGGTGCTTGGTCAGCTGTGGAGGAGCGAGGCACCGACAAAAGGCACTAGGGACTCCTTGGGCATGCACAGGGGGTGTTCCTTGGGGGCTATACCCTCTGGTCTGTTAAGGGGCAGAATGAAATATAATCAAGATGGCATTTCCTAGCCAAAATGAGAGGAATTATTTCCTCTTTGAATCAAGAGCATCCTTTATAAGTGCACATCCCGAAAAGCCTGCCGAGCTTTTTTGAGCCTGCAGGCAAGGCAGGTTTGGAGTCACTTGGATTAAACCTTTCCTTATTGTAGCTAGAACTGGAACAGTGAGGACAAGGGTGACTTTCCATACCTAGTTTTGAGTTATTTTAGCTGGGGATGTTAGATAAAATAGTCAGTGACTGGCAGGGTGATAGAATATGGTTTAATTTCAGATTTACTATCTGCCAACACATGCCATTCAATCAGATAAACACAGGATTTCAGCTGTCATCACAATATCTTATGCATACTTTAAAATAGTGCACTTTTTCTCACACCAAGAAGAAATTGAACAGGTTTATATATAGGATGTATATGGTCAGGAGGCTAGAAATTTTGAAATAGTCTGCCATTTCTAGAGACATTCCTTATCTTTAAATTAAGGAATTGTATTAGAAGTAGTAGAAAATTTCAGGATTGCAGTTTTATCATTGTCAGCTGCACAGAATAAATAAAAGGGAACACCTTGAAAAGTCGAACTGTATAAAATGAGGGAAATGTCTTTAGTATTTACAGTAGAGAATATGAGACTATATAGAGACCAAGATGACTCAGAACTTTGTTGCGTGGGAGTATTGTTCCTCCTCTGGTTTATAAATTTCCCTGCTCTTTTGTCTGTCCTGGTTCACATATTGGTCCTATCACTGTAATGCCTGAACATCTGCTTTGCTTGGGAGGCAGAAACAGATTATAATCTAGCATCACCCCAGCACTATCCTAAACCAATTTTCCTACTAAATGCAATTTAAGTGTTCACTGTCTAAAGCTTCCCTCATACAACTTTACTTACGTGGAAACTCTCATACGAGTAAAATGTGACACCTCATTCTGGTGCTATAAGCTAGAGATTTGTGAGCACACAGATCAGTATGGCTTTTTGGCTTAGCACTTGTCCACTATTTGGGGTTTCTATTATATCCCTCATGAAGAGTAGTTGATGACACAGCCTAGCATATTTTTTAATGCCTGGCCTGGTTTGTTTACAAGGGATGCACAGAACAGCTTGTTTCTGGGAACATCACATGAGCAGACAGCAACAGGCAGTTTTCTTGCTCACAAATCTGCTGAAATGCTTCCCTGGCAAGCTCCAGTGCTGCCCTGCTGCTTTCTCTCCTGCTCACAGCCTCTTCTTTAATGCCCACATAACCAGTACCTTCAGCCTCATATTGACTGCCTGCTTTGCTCTTTAAGGTTTTGTAGTCAGCTTTCATTCACTGATGCCCTTGTTAGCAACTACTAGCGTTTTCCAGCACAACTGATTCTTGCCTGCTCTCCTTCCCTTCTGTGTTCTACCAGGCTGCTCCAAAAACGAGCTCTAAAATGACATCCCGAGCTACTCGGCATAATTGTATCTTTGAAGCCAAGACTTGTACTTTACTTTGAAGAGCAGCTCTAGCAAAAGGAGAGCATTTTCTACTGCAGATAAGGAAAAGAAGGCATTTATTTTTTTTTGAGAGCATTCCTCCTGCTGGTTTCCCTGCAGGGGGGAGGCTGGTGCTTTTTCTAGCATGTGTAAAGGCGCTCTTGAGGAGCTCTTCTCCGACAGATCGGCTTATTGCCCATGGAGACACAGGGACAGCATAATGTTGGGTTTCCTATTGCTTGGGCTTCATCCCTTTCTGGTTAAGCTCTCATGCACTTCAGAGAAAAACTTGATTATTGGGTTGCAAGTCCCTCAGCTCAGCCGTGGGAGGGTCTTTTTGACTTCCAGAACTCCCTCCTGGAGCTGGGTATTGGCTGCAGAGGCAATTTGGCAGTTTGTGCTGGGCTATGCAAACAGGTATAGAAATAGCAAGGCTAGAGTGAAGTCCAGTGTGGGTGTTTTTCAATCTTAAAGGCTTTGGATTTCTGTTATGTGGGGTTTTTTTGTTGTTGGTTTTGTGTTTTGGTTTTTTTGTGTGTGTGTGTGTGGGGGGGGGGAGGTGTTTGGTCTCTTTTAGAAAAACCTTTCACTTGAAATGATCTGCCAAACAATTTATTTTGAAAACATTGGTGGGTGGTGCCTACATTATGGGCTGTGGTTTCATTGATATGCTCAGCCTCGCTAAGTAGATGGCATATTAAATGTTTTATTTACCCTGTGCACTACCTGTCATCCAGTCAGCTTTTGTTTTTTGCTGCATTCTGCTTGTATTACAGCAAGAGTAAGTGGTTTCATGTAAATTAAAACCACATGAAACCTTTTAAAGCCGTGTTAAAATACTGCATGGTTTTGCAAATAGGTTTGTCAGAGAAGGATTGGAAAAAGAGCTCTTTGCTTACCCATTTACTGTTTTGTATGCTTATTAGAAGCCACCCATGTGACACTTTCATCAAACATTGCATCCCACTACTCATCTAAAAGCCAAAAGTCATTTATACTAAAGAGTTTGCATAAACAGGAGGCAGTTAACAAAGAATACAGTTGTGAGCTGTGGTTGCAAATGTTATTTTGTAAATTACAACACAGATGCACAATAAATTCAAAACATGAATCCCTATGATGTTTACTTGCTTGCCTGGAGCATAAAAGCTTGTTGGCTAAAAAGTTTCTTTTTGCTTTTACTAACTATTATTGCCAATGTTTATGGTTGCAGTCATCTCACTGAGAATACTTTTGTTTCTTACAGGTGGATCGTATCATCTTCTGTGTCTTTTTGGAGGTTGACTACAAAATTTTTAAGAAGAAAATGGGCGAGTTTTTCCCTCTAGGTAGGTATAATAATCAAGTGCCTTCTGAATTTAAAAAATAATGCTGCAAAAAGACAACAGTTGGCATCCTTTCTTCTTTCCCTGCCAAAGCCATATATTAAAATGTGAACTTTCTTTAAAGATCAGCTGCACATAGCAGCTCTGATCCTGGACAAATGCAGCCATTTAAAATTTGTGAACCAGTAAAACTACTTTTGACACTGCTTTTGCAAAATCAAGGCCTGTCTTTGTATGCTCAGTACAGCTGGTTTCTTCATTCTCTGCTGTATCCCTGTCTCCTTCAAAAAACTGGTGCGTGGCACTGGATGAAGTCTTAACTCTCAGAAGAAGATTTTTTTCACTGATGTATATAGCTCCCAGTGTATATTGCTTTTTTTCCATACACCTTCTGCCTTCTCTTTCATTAACGATGCTGGTAGGGTTTCTCTGGGTCTGAAAAGATACTGCAGGGGTTAGAGCCCAACTGTGTCTGAATGAGAACTTTAAACTTGAGCTGTCCCTGTGCAAGAATGAATGGGAGAAAGATGGCTCCCACTGGAGCACTTGGGAAATGTTAGCCATTCATCTTATATTTCACACAGGAGGTTACTTTCTAGAATATAAGAAAGCCTGGTGGATAGTAAATTTGTAAATCCCCCTCCCCCCCCATATGCCTGTGATTTATTTTTATCGTGTATCATTAGAGATCTGTGCTCAGGGTTTTTTTTTTAATCAACCTTCTCCCATTTTATTTGTTTTTCTATTACATCAGTCCTAGTGTATGTGACAAGATCCAGATTTTAGTATTTTTTCACATATTTCAGAAGTGGTGGTCACTTAAATACTCCCCACACTGTCTACCTGCTTGGTGGAAAGGTCCTTTGAGTAATAGGAGGCGGTGCTCTGGTATCTTTTAAGTCTCCATTAATACTACAGGACCATTTTGTCACAGTAGCCACTGTGGCTTTATCCTCTTGCTTTGGCTGGTAGTATGGAAATGGTGAGGTTTCTGTCTCATCTTACTAGAACAAAGCTTTTTGTAGATGGCTTTGTAATCTCCAGCTTGCAATGATTGGCAGCTGAAATTTAAAAACCTATTGAATTATTCAGGTAGCATAGAATGGTGTCTAACCACTTAATAATATTTTTGTCTGAAGCACACTGAACATGCATTTGAAAGGCTGCATTCATGTCTAATCCATTCATTGTATGATTCTAATTTTTTTGGCAGTGTACCCCAACACATAGGATAAAGTGGCAGGACCCTACTTACTGTTGCTGGCTCTGTCCCTGCCCTTCAGATTAAGTGAGAACAGACTACAGTGCCAATTTGTCAACAGTGTTAATACTCACCTTCATCAGAAGGGTCTTTGAAATAATGGATTAAAGTCTGGTATTATTGTTATAAATGTAAAGCCCTCTTGGGTTTGAAAGCCTGAGAGGCAAGAAGATGCTTCAGAGATAAAGCATGGCAAGTCTAAGGGGAAAAGAGAGGGAAATGGGAGATATTTTTTTTCTTTTTGGGGGTTTTCCAAGCCTGACATTGTTGAACTCCTGTCTACAGAGAACCTGTGTGGTTGAGTCTCATGTTTTTATAAAGACTTACACTTGCCTTATGCCACATTATATAGGTAATCAGTTGTATCATCATTTTAATAGTTTGTTTATTCTCATGCATGGCAAGTTTTTACATGTTTTTTTTTGCTTGAATTAAAACTGGTAATTTTATATGTGACCATAGAGAGGTGATTGTGGTGGTCACCCTCTAAGGTGCAGCAAATCTAAATTTTGCAGGTATGTGACTATGCTAAAGGTTGATCCAATACTTAGACAGCTGTCCTGAGAAAAATGTTTCAGTTCTCAGCAGCCACAGTTTGGTATAGATGGTGTAGCCATTGGTATAGTCATTTCCATAGGCTCCCTGCTGTAATATTCTCATTACTAACAATTGTGAATACCAGTTTTGATATGCCTTAATGGTGCTGGTTTCCAGAAAGAGCTGAGCACCTACTGGCTGGAGAGCTGGAGTTTTAAAAGAAGCTTGTAAAACCTAACTCAGTGAAGGATTTCCTCTCAGTAGTCAGTGATTTGGGAGACCTGATTTTAACATCTTGTGTCACCACGGACATCTGGTATTCCCTTAGATGTCACTTAGATTGTCAGCTTCTGAAGAGAAAGCGAGAGGCAGGAGAGGTACACGCTACCAAAATGACTCCCCATTAGTATCCCTGAAGAAGTGATAAGTGTTTGGGTCTCTCTCCTGGATGAGTGCTCTAATGGTTAATATACAGTCTTAGGCTTTCTTTGCTATCTGGAATTGACAGTTTTCTGCAGGATACTAACACTTCAACAGATGTCAGCTCAAGTCAGCCTCATCCTAAATTCCTGATAACCTACTGGTAAGAACATCAGCTGAAGGTCTGGATGGTGATCACCAGATGACCATCATGTCTGCTGCTTGTTCCTTTTTCTGGTCTCTTGTGAATTGTCACCTGAATTTAACTTAATAGTCTTGGAGGAGTTACCAGCAGACTCTCCAACTGTAAGGTTATTCCATCTTTTCAGAACTGGTTTCTTGCACAGAGCACTTAGTCCACAAGACTCCGTGTCAAGGAGTTAGATACTGTCGCTACCTTTGGCAATAAATTCCTAATATCTAGACTGTGGAAGGAATTGCCAAAACTGGTGGTTTTGAGGTGTTTTTAAGTGAGTCTATTAATGTTAAATGAAAGTCTTTAAGAGTAGACTTCCCCTAAATCTAATTTGCTATGACACCATCTGAATATTCACAGGAGAGAGTAACACTGAGATATTATTTTAAGCTTAGAGAAGAAACATTGAGATGTTTTTAAAGTGTGTCTTGCATTCAGAAACATGAAGAAATATATCTGCTTTAATAGATGTGGACAAAAATACTTAGAAAGAAGAATATATTCATGGAGTTATATACATAAATAGTTATTACTGTAAACCTGGTGCATTAATAAATCCAAAAAGACATCCAAGTGCTTGAGCTAGTCAAATGATAATGAAATGAAGCTAGAGTTACACCTCAGTGCATTAGAGTAAGTGGAATGTAGATAGAGGGAAATTGTTCCATTAGTTGAACATATCATTAGGCCTATTTTGCAAGTGGTATGCCAAATAAATTAGTTGAGTAATAGTACTGATATTAAGACAACTGCCAAGAGCCTTGTCATTTGCAAACTTTAAATAAAAAGGGAGGAGATACAGACTTCTAAATAATTTCCTATCTTATGAGTGTAGCAAATCTGTTCAGTAACAGACCGGTTGTCACAGTCTTAGCATTTCTAGTTTGATCTCAGTCATCAGTAGCCTGTACAGAACCCAAGCCAAAGCCACCATGCTCCACAGGAGAGTGCCACTTAATCTTTAACTCAGACTTAGGATCTCATCCTAGTGATTTTCCAGAAAAGCACTGTTTTAGAAAATAAAGGGTCACGGTCCACATAGAATCTCCTGTTGAACCTCTGGGGTTTTGCTAAGAACTTTTGGTATGTCCTGGTAGAAAAAGAGCAAGGGTGGAAGACTGTTGCAGTAGAATAGCTTACCTTCTGTGCTTACGATGGATCACTCTTTTAGCATATTAGGTGCCACTAACAGTGGTAATTTTTTTTCTTTTTACCAATTGAGTTTAATCTCCTAGTGGAATGAGGTAGTGCAGGCATTCTGCCTCGAACTGTGTTGGGAAGTGCTGTCTGCATAATCCAAGAGACTGCCTTCCTACATATCTTGCAGGCAAATAAAATATCCTTGCCTGCAGTTCTGGCTGAAATGTGTAGTTCGTGCATCACCGGATTTGTTGCTACAAGTACTGTAAGTGAGCTTTCTGGGAAAAGAGATGATACTCATGCCATTTTTTCTCTTGGAATTCCTTGTGTCTTCTAACAGAATTCTACATGGAGCCTAGGTACTGAGCATTACTTTTACTGCTAAATATATATAAGACTGACCAGGAAATGGTATAAAAACAGACCCCATTGAAAAGCTAGATTTGCCAACATTTACCTTACAGTGATACATTCTTCTGGGATGCTATTCATAGGAGTAAAATGAAGAGTGCAAACAGTTGCCAGGTGGAGGCAAAGATACCTTTTTTTATTTTCCTCCTGTACACTGACTTAATATGTCAGATAGATATTCTTGTAAGGACCTTTGGCAAATACTTCTTTTTTTGTGGTGGCTCTTGTATATTGTGAAAGGTTTATCTTAAATTGCAATGCTTAAAGTATTTCTAAATCTACCACCTGTTATCAGTGGATTGGAGAGGGGAATAATTTTTCCTGAAAATGTTCTTTAGACAAAAATAATGTTATAAAGGGTATGTACTGTGAAGCTGCAGCATTCAAGGTTATACTACATTCTCACTACGTTAAACAGTAACAAAATTACTTCACTAAAGCATCTCTAAAATTGTTAGAGAGAGGACAGGTTTGCACTTTTATTAGACCAATTGATAGATGGAAGATGCAAGCTTTTAGACTCTGTGTCCTTTCAGAGTTAATGAAAGGATGCTGAGCCCAAGAGCTTTTTCTTCTTTTTTTTTTTCCTCTTTTTTTTCTTTTTTTCTTTTTTTTTTTTTTTTCTTTTTCTGAGCCACATCAGTTCGTGTTAGCAAAAAGGGAGAGAAATTGCTTCATCTTGAAAAAACTTTCTCTCCCCTCTATTCCGGGTTATGACGTTTAATGCATTTTCTGCTTTTATCCTGGTTGACAAAAACACTTCCCCCCCTACCCTAAGCATATGGATAAGAGCTACTCTCTTACATTAATCCTTCTGTTACTTCAGGAGGATGCACAGCATCCTCGTTGTCCATAAATGTGCAAATATATTACAATTGCAGAGGAAATTCCTTGTTAGAGATCTACCAGGCTTAGAATCAAATTGGAAACTGTCTAAATGGCTGAATGAAGGGCTTTGTATTAAAAAGGCAGATCTCTGCACTAATACGTGAGTGAACTCTTAAGCAGAGATTGTAATTTCTGTGCTGGTATTGAGAA